GGCTAAAAAAAATAATCACACACTGTTTACCTATAACATGGAAAAATACTGCTTCTACAGATGCAGCCACCATTTGAATGTTAATTGCCTTTAGGTTTGCCCACTACCATGGAAAAAAGAATTTCCCGGTTTCTTATTTTGATCTCTTATAGCTCTGCTAGTAAAATAGTGTGGAGCATACCCCAAACAATTTTCAAAGTTTTTCTTGTACTCCACAGTAAGACTGACATTCCAAGAAGCCAGAGAGAGCGAAGAGAGCTGAGTGACAGGTCTCTGCCTGACACAAGGAAGTAACAGCAGAGCCTTCATGTACTGCAGAGGCTGCAGGACCCTGTCTAAGTTGCGCAGCAGAGTAAGTGCCTTATGCCAGCTGATGCAGGATAAACAGAAAGATGGTGCTCCCAAAGTAAAGGTGCATATGGGTGTGATCGAGTCACAGGTCTGATGCTCTGGAACTGCTCTTTATGAAGACAGACGGGACTCAGGGTAACGTGACTCCCCTCAGGGCACGCTGTCCAGGGCAAGGAGCCCCCACCTCTGAGTCCCCAACAGCAGACTGCCCAGGTTCCAGCGACCCCTGGCCCCAGAGCCCTGCCACTGGATCCGCTCCACACAGCTTTGTTACTGTCCCGCCGGGCAGAGACGACGCATACCTGCTGATAAGGGGAGGGGGGCACAATTTAAAGGTTTGGCCATCGCCAGAACAGCTTGAGTCACACACCCCTCCCCCAAACCAGGCCTCCCCCTTACCCTCAATCTCCCCTTCCGGAAAGCAGTGGCCCCTCCCTGCAGCTCCCAGCTGTTGCGCCTGGCTCTCCCCATGCGCAGCTCACCAGCCCAGCTGCACAATGTGACCGAGTGGGGCTGGCAAAACTGGGAACCGCAGTCTGCCCGTGCTGGCGCACTGTGAGCTGGGGAGCCAGGCTCTGCCAGGTTCAGTGGCCCCTAGCAGAGGCCAGCAGCTCTACAGCGCCAATTTTGCAGGAAAAAATGAAATTCTGTGCAGAGCATTAATTTTGTGAAAATTTTGCATTGCACGGTGGTGCAGAATTCCCCCAGGAGTAACAGCTGGGAAGACCAAACCTTTTAAATTCTAGTCAGAGTAGATCAGCCAAAGCCATTGGCAGAGAGGAAGTGGTAGAAGGCAGCCACAGAATCTGTTTAGTATAACGGGAAAAATCTACTGATGCCCTCGCAGACCCAATTATTTAATATGCTATTTAGCTCCAAGGGTGTGATTTTGGGGTGCAACTCTGGGAGGCACAGCAGAAAACCCACAGTCTGGAATTGGGAGGGTGCAGCTAAAGGGGCTTTAAACTACTTCTGACCCACACATAATAGCTTCAAATTGGGAGGGTGCATAGCAGCCCTCAGTAAAAGTTGGCTGCCTAAGTTATTGCAGCCCAAGCTGAGCTACCTACAAGTCACAATGCAACCCAGAACTGCGGGCGTTGCAGTGTGCCAGGGTGCACTAGGTCCGGAGGTTCCCTGCTGGAGGCTTTATGGCCCTGCAACACCCTTTCTCAGAATAGAGCAGAGGGAAGTCCTCCAGGCAACCTAGAGTGGCTGCAGAGAGGGCCCAATCAGGGGGCAGATGGAGCAGCCAATCCGGGGCCAGAAGAGCCCTACATAAGACAAGCAGCAGAGCAGAGAAGTTCAGCTGCTGCATGGAACTTGACGAGGGAGGACTGGGTGCCTGGCTGGCTAGACGAGCAGCAGGCCATGGACAACTCACTGCAGAGAGCTCACCAAGCAGAACTGAGCCCAGGGAAGGCTGCTAAAGACCGGATGCCTGGCTGGCTAGAGTAGCAGCAGGACCATGAACAGGTCAGTGCAGGCAGGCTGAGCCCAGGGGACTGAGCCCAGAACCAGGCGAGGGTACAGAGATCATAGACTCATAGGACTGGAAGGGACCTCGAGAGGTTATCTAGTCCAGTCCCCTGCACTTATGACAGGACTATATTATCTAGACCATTCCTGACAGGTATTTGTGTAACCTGTTCTTAAAAATCTCCAATGATAGAGATCCCACAACCTCCCTAGACAATTTATTCCAGTGCTTAACTACCCTGACAGTTAGGAAGTTGTTCCTAATGTCCAACCTAAACCTCCCTTGCTTCAATTTAAGCCCATTGCTTCTTGTCCTATCCTCACAGGTTAAGAGCAACAATTTTTCTCCCTCCTCCTTGTAACCTTTTATGTACTTGAAAACTGTTATGTCCCCTCTGTCTTCTCTTTTCCAGACTAAACAAACCCAGTTTTTTCCAATCTTCCCTCATAGGTCATGTTTTCTAGACCTTTAATCATTCTTGTTGCTCTTCTCTGGACTTTCTCCAATTTGTCCCACATCTTTCCTGAAATGTGGTGCCCAGAACTGGACACCCTACTCCAGTTGAGGCCTAATCAGCGTGGAGTAGAGCGGAAGAATTACTTCTCATGTCTTACAACACTCCTGCTAATACATCCCAGAATGATGTTCTCTTCTTTTGAGACAGCGTCACACTGCTGTCTCATTTTTAGCTTGTGGTCAACTATGACCCCCAGATCCCTTTTCACAGTACTCCTTCCTAGGCAGTCATTTCCCACTTTGTATGTGAACTGATTGTTCCTTCCTAAATGGATTGCATTTGTCCTTATTGAATTTCATCCTATTTACTTCAGACCATTTCTCCAGTTTGTCCAGATCATTTTGAATTTTAATCCCATCCTCCAAAGCACTTGCAACCCCTCCCACTTGGTATCGTCTGCAAACTTTGTAAGTGTACTAGGCCATTATCTAAATCACTGATGAATATATTGAACAGAACCAGACCCAGAACTGATCCCTGTGGGACCCCACTCGTTATGTCCTTCCAGCATGACTGTGAATCACTGATAACTACTCTCTGGGAACTGTTTTGCAACTAGTTATGCACCCACTAGCTCTATCTAGGTTGCATTTCCCTAGTTTATGAGAAGTTCGTTCAAGACAGTATCAAAAGCTTTACTAAAGTGAAGATATAGCCCGTCTACCACTTCCCCCCTATCCACAAGGTTTGTTACCCTGTCAAAGAAAGCTATCAGGTTGGTTTGACACAATTTGTTCTTGACAAATCCATGCTCACTGTTACTTATCACCTTATTGTCTTCTAGATGTTTGCAAACTGATTGCTTAATTATTTGCTCCATTATCTTTCTGGGTACAGAAGATAAGCTCACTGGTCTATAATTCCCCGGGTTGTCCTTATTTCCCTTTTTATAGGTGCCATTTTCCAGTCATCTGGAATCTCTCCCATCTTCCATGATTATTCAAAGATAATCGCCAATGGCTCGGATATCTCCTCAGTCAGCCCCTTAAGTATTCTACGATGCATTTCATCATGCCCTGATGACTTGAAGACATCTAACTTGTCTAAGTAATTTTTAACTTGTTCTTTTCCTATTTTAGCCTCTGATCCTACCTCGTTTTTACTAACATTCATTATGTTAGATGGCCAATCACCACCAACCTTTTTGGTGAAAACCAAAACAAGTCATTAAGCACCTCTACCATTTCCACATTTTCTGTTATTATTTCTCCCCTCCCCCCACCATACTGAGTAACAGGTCTACCCTGTCTTTGGTCTTCCTCTTGCTTCAAAAGTATTTGTAGAATATTTTCTTATTACCCTTTATGTCTCTAGCTAGTTTGATCTAGTCAGAGAAGGGCACTGCTGGTCTGGTTGCAGACTGAGCCCAGGGAGGGCTGCTGAAAAGGACACCAGCTGAAGGTACTTAGATGGGCCCCGGCTGGGTGACTGACGAAGGCAGTGCCTTGGGGAAGACACCTTAGAGCTATGGCCCCATACCAGGGAAGAGAAAGAACTTGGACTGTATACCCCAAAAGGGGGGGACAGCATGTGTGGCTTGGCCAGAGGGCTGAGCTGCCGAAGACCAGCTGAGAGAACCAGCAGCTGGGGGGTGCTTGCAAGAGGCAGGCGCCACCCTGATGTAAAACCAAAACAGGCTCACACCTAACCGAGAGAAAGGGCGCCTGTGAAAAGACTGGTTTCAGAGTAACAGCCGTGTTAGTCTGTATCCGCAAAAAGAACAGGAGTACTTGTGGCACCTTAGAGACTAACAAATTTATTTAACAAAGTACTCTAAGGTGCCACAAGTACTCCTGTTCTTTTTGTGAAAAGACTGTTTGCAGGGACAACTGGCCAGAAAAAAGGGGGCACACATAAGGCAGGTGCTGACGCCATTACAGGGATGCACCATGGCCCTGCTCCCTCAGCCTACCCCATCCTATGATTGATCTTAAGAAGAGGGTCTCCTAAAATAATCTGCTGCTGTCTTATGCAGTTTATACATCAGCAGCATTCTGCCCACGCTGTAAAAATCCCAGGGCCAGTTCCTTTATGCTGCCATAGCAGGAAGAAGACTTCCACCCCAGCTCTGCAACTCAAGCAAGTGTCTTATAGAGCATCATTGACAAGATACAGTAATTCTGTTTTTCAATACCTTGTACTTGTATTAATATCTCCCCCTAAGATTATTAGAACTACAAGCATTTTTAAAATCTAATTCACTTTTCACCATGTCCAGTATGGATTTACACTCCAATTGCAGAGTGAGACTAGACTGCTCCATTTCACCTGCTGGTATTAAATGTACTAACACAGTACTGTTGTACTTCAGTATCCAGCCCTCCAGGGACACATTTCACTAATAAAATCCGTTTTCACTGAAACAGCAAGAAAATACAATGAGCATTTCAATTCATATTCACGTTTTGTTAAATTTCTTCCTGTGATTTTAACTACTGAGGACATCTGTTTAAATGGTTGGTAACGTAATTACTGAGTGAAAGGATTAAAAAACAGGATTATTTGAATAATCAAGTAAGAGTGATGAGTACCCATTTTAAATCTAAACTGGATAAAGCTGAAAGAGACAGCGGAGGCTACAGAGGAATTCCTGCCCCCACGGCACAGACTGTTCCTTCCCCCAGGCACCCTTCATTCCCTCTCCCTTCTTACTTTTATAGTTCCAGTGGATGCTGGTGACTTGGATCTCCTGAGTAGGAATATATTCCTCAACAAACTTCTTCCCCTGGAGTCGGTGCCAGAGTGTGGTTTTCCCTGTGTTCCTGTCCCCTCGGATTACAATTTTCACTGGGGGGAGAAGAGCAAGTACAAAAATAAAGTTGATTAAAACAAATCTTGGGAATGCTTGGAAAAGTGTTAATATTTTGAAAGTGTTATTCTGATGTAATTAGATCTTTCATGTTACACATGCAGGGTATTTCATTACAAGATATGAGCAACAGTCAGTCATTCAAATTCCTGCTTACTCAGCTGCATAGTTTAGTTCAGCAGGAAGAACCAACTTCAAGATCAAGCCACTTATCCTTGCCCTTGGGGCCTTGCACAACTTCCCTCAGTCTATGCCTCTGCTCTCATTTCTGCCTAGTTCCCATCCTACTGCCTTCCCCGCTCACCACCCTGGGTAACCTTAACCCCTGCTCACGTTTCAACAAGTTCTTCCACACTTATCTTTGAGCTTGCATCCCCCTCCTCCTACCCATGTGCCAAACGCCCTCCTGTAGCGTTCAAGTTTTCCTTAAATAATTTTCTTATCCTCAAGAAAATAATGATCTCCTGAAGCCATCTGCACCACTTTTAAACTGGCTGGTCAGCTTGGATATCTGAATTGCCCTGTCTGAGGGCTTGCCTACTTGAGAAGGTTGCACCAGTTTAAATTAAAGATGTGAATTTAAACTGATAGAATTACATTGGTGCAAATGGCTGTGTGGACACTCTTTGGTTTAAGCATCGCCTATTTTAATCTAACTTAAATTGTTTAGGAACAGGTTTAAGCTAAAAACAAGCATGGGCCCACAGGGATTTGCACTGGTTTAACTATATCCCTGTAAACACCAATTTAAATTAAAACAGTGCATCTTATTTCTGTAGTGGAGCCCTCTCTCACCTAGGGCATGTCTACACAGGAAAAGTTACAGCGCCGCTCAGAGCGCGCCGAAGGGAAACTACTGTTGTGTTTTCACACTGTCAGCTGCCTGCACAATAGTGTGTTCACACTTGCAGCTGTATTCGGAGCGGTGCACTCAGGGCAGCTATCCCGCAGAGCACCTCTTTCTCTTCTGCTGCTAAGACTTGTGGAAAGGCGTAGGGCGTCATGGGGCATTCTGGGTCCTGTCCCAATGACCCGTGATGCATTGCTTCGCATCCCAGCAATCCCTGTGCTTCCATCCACATTTGGCACCATCTTTCAACGGTTTGAGTACTGTGCGCCCTACATCTTCGAGCTGCAGGAATGGATCCCAACGTGTTGACCAGAATGCTGCTCGCTCTAACCAACATGTCACGAGTGGCAGTGGAGTTATTCTTTAAACTACAAAGGCAAGAGGAGTGCGACATTAATCTCGCCACACATAATAGCTATGACACTAGATTGCCACAGTGGAACGCCACTTTTGGGCTCGGGAAGTAAGCACTGAGTGGTGGGATCACATTGTGATGCATGTCTGGGATGACTAGCAGTGGCTGCAGAACTTTCGGATGAGTAAAGCCACATTCATGGGACTGTGTGATGAGCTCACCCAAGCCCTGCGGCGCAAGGACACGAGAATGAGAGCTGCCCTGCCGTTGGAGAAGCGCATAGCGATTGCAATGTGGAAGCTAGCTACTCCAGACTGCTACCGATCGGTTGCTAACCAGTTCGGAGTGGGAAATTGGACCATTGGACTTGTGTTAACGAACAGGGCCATTAATCGCATCCTACTCTGAAAGAATGCAACTCTGGGCAACGTGTGACATTGTGGACGGCTTTGCACAAATGGGCTTCCCTAACTGCGGATGGCACGCACATTCCAATTCTGGCACCAGACCACTTAGCCATCGAGTACATTAATCACAAGGGGTATTTCTCAATGGTTCTCCAGGCGCTTGTGGATCACTGTGGGCATTTCACAGACATTAATACAGGCTGGTCCAGAAAGGGGCATGAAGCACGCATCTTTTGGAACACTGGCCGGTTCAGGAAGCTGCAAGCAGGGACTTTCTTCCCGAACCAGAAGACCACCATAGGGGAAGTCGAAATGCCCATTGTGATCCTGGGAGACTCTGCCTACCCCTTAATGCCGTGGCTTATGAACCCATACACAGGGCAACTTGACAGCAGCAAGGAGTGGTTCAACAGGCTAAGCAAGTGCAGAATGACTGTTAAGTGGGCTTTTGGCCGTTTAAAAGCCCGCTGGCGCTGCCTCTATGGGAAGCTGGACCTGACCAATGAAAATATTCCTATGCTTATAGCCGCGTGCGGTATGCTCCATAATATTTGTGAAAGGAAGGGTGAAAGCTTCACTCAGGGCTGGACCGCAGAGGCTCAGCGCCTGGAGGCTGAGTTTGAACAGCCAGAGACCAGGGCTATTAGAGGGGTGCAGCATAGGACCATAAGGATCAGGGATGCCTTGAGGCAGCAATTTGAAGCTGAAAGCCACTAATATTTGTTGCTATGCTCAGGAGTGCAGTGCTTGTAATGCTAGGAGGTGACTAGTGTAAACGATGCAAAATGTGGGTTTAACATAATTGTATGTTGCTTTGCAGGGATCTTTTTGCTTTCAGTTAATAGAATAAAGATTGCTTTCAAACCAACAATTCTTTTATTAAAAACAATAACCGGAGGAGAGTCAAACGAAAAAATACATCAGCAGGGAGGGGGATGGGAAGGTCCCAGGAGGAGGAGGGGCACCGGGACGGCTAGAGATTTGTGTATGTCCAGGGATCATATCCAACCTTCTCCTTTGGAGTACAATGCAGCAGGTTCTGTACTTCAGCAGGGCCAAACTGCAGAGGGATGGGTGTTGAGTGCAGTGGGTAGTGGGAGTCCACAGTGCTGAACTGTGAGGAGGGAGGAGTGGAATGCTGCAGGTAGAGACTGGAGCCAGGAGATTGATAAATGTCTGTTCGCAGTGTCTGGGGAGCGCATGGGAAAGAGTTTTGTGACAGCGGCTGCAGGGGAGGGCAGGCACAGAGCTGCTCAGTTTAAGAGCTAGTACCGCCTGAAGCATGTCTTTCCTGCCACTCCTTCAGTTCCTCGGCAGCAGAATGCATCATAACATCACACAAAGTCCTTAGTTCTTCTTGGCCGCTTTCTAATTCTGTGCAGCCGTTCAGCCGCCAACAACAAAGAGGGAGGCTGGGATCCCAAGGTCATCTTTGTGAAGTTTAAACGCAACATTTTTACAGAAGCAGTATTGTTTGCAACACAGACAACAACGATTCAGTGCTTTAAAAACACAGCCAGTACTCTCACCCCTGTCACTAACTGGCTAACCGCAGGCAAGCACACATGAGCCACCCAAATGGTGAGTAACCACATGGACAGGGTAAATCACTCTTCCTGGACCCTGTTGTACACTGGGCATGTGGCTCTTGGGGAGAGCCAGCACTGGGGCGGGGGCGAGGGGGGGGGAAAAAGAGGAAGGCTGATAATCATTCCTGTCCCCACACTTTCCAGAAGATGTGATCATTATGGAAGATGTCTCGCTGCTGAGGGTGAGCAGGGAATCAAGAGAGGGTCTTCTCCAAGACTGCAACTTCCACCCTGGTCCCTACGCGGCTCGCCTGTGGGCAGCAATGCCCCCCCCCCCGCCCGTGACGGCACAGTGGCACGGGAAAGTTACCGTTAATGGGGCAAGAAACAAAGCAGCTCTGCAGAAGAACCTGTGGCAGCGGATTGCCCAGTATCTCCATGAGAGTTTCCTGGAGATCTCAGAGGGAGAGTCCCGTGAAGTGAGGGAGCCAATCAACAGCCTGTTCTGCCGCTCAGACTAGGCATGCAGTGGGATACAAGCCAGTTTTCTGCAACCCTCCTGCCCCCAACAACTCACTTCAGTGATTCCCAAAATCACATCCACTTACCGGGGCCTCCTCTCCTGTTTGCACTTCGCCAATCTCCAACAGCTGTGCCTGGCTAGCCTCCTCCAGGGTAGAAAAGAGCTCCTGGCTGCATGCATCTCTGGCCTCCGAGTCATCCTCTGCCTCTGGGTCCCGCTTCACATCCTCATCCAAGATTTCCTCCTCCTGGCTTCATCCACTCTCGACTGGCACACGACCCAACGAAGTATCCACAGTGGCCTTCACAGTGGATGTGGGGTCCCCGCCGAGTAGAACTGGCAGCTCGTGGACGCAGCACTGGAGCAGCGGTTTGCCTCCTGTGTCTTGTGGTAGGTGTTCCGCAGGTCCTTCATTTTGACTCTGCACTGCAGTGTGTCCCGGTCATGGCCCCTTTCTGTCATGCATCGTGAAATCTGTCCATAGGTATCATAATTCTGGAGCGCAGTTGGGACTGGACAGCCTTCTCTCCCCAAATGCTGATGAGGTCCAACTGCTCGGCATTGCTCCAAGCAGGAGATCGCCTGGTGCCAGTTGGTCACTTGAAGGCAGGGCAGTAGAGTTCAAACCGATGACCAGAGAGGCGAGAACAGGCATTGTGGGACACCTCCCAGAGGCCAATCGCTGCACTGTAATCACCACAGTGTCTACACTGGCACCACAGAGCAGTAGCCCCGGCGCAGAAAGCTGTATGCCTCTCGTTGGGGTGGTTTTTTTACAGCACTACAACTGCGCAGTTTCTGCGCACTAAGTGGCTTGGCAGTGCGTACACCTCGGGAATTACAGCGCAGAAAGCTGCAGATTGAGAGACTACATTCATTCATATTTTTTTTTCCCCTCTCCCTCCCTCTCCATACATATACGGAAAGCCATTCAATCAAGGAACCTAACTGCGTGTTGAGACAAAAACCACGTACTCTAAGAAGTGTCCAAAATATCATGCTGAAAAGCTAATAATATAAATGGGATTCGCCACAGTTTCATCCAGCACATGACCTTAACAACTCAAAGATAAGCAATGTATTTGGTGTTATTTCTAGAAGCCTGTTATCACCTTCAGAATGTGCAGAAAGAATAGCAAATATGGCAGGCGACCAGCTTGTCTTAACAGAGAAATCTTCAGTGAGCTTAAACACAAAAAGGAAGCTTACAAAAAGTGGAAACTTGGACAGATGACTAGGGAGGAGTATAAAAACATTGCTCGAGCATGCAGGGGTGTAGAGTATAAAAACATTGCTCGAGCATGCAGGGGTGTA